CCCACTTTTTTGAAAATAACGATCAAAAAAATCATTTCCCTGTGAAATTAATGTGAAACAAATAAAGTTGTAATGTGAAAACCCCATTTTGTAAATAGTGAATCAATTTTATGCTTTCTTAAAAATTGATTACAAACAAGCCAATTTCCATCTTTATTTGGTCAATAAATAATGTTGTTTTTCTTCAAAAATTTAGAGTAATAGTCCCGATTTACATTTGCGTACAAGCCAAAAATTACTCATTCACTCAAAATTGACAATAAGAAAATCTATTTTATGTTTTACCAGACGCTTCCGCTTTTCTTTTGGCTTTCGATTGCTCTTAGCACGTCAATTGCACATTCATGGCACGTACGAATCTTGCTCATTTTTCTTTAGGAAAATTAAGGATTGTGCTATGTAATTCAGTGCAGAGATGGCTCTTCCTCCATTTTCAAAACTGATTCTTAACTATTTAATGCTATAAGATTGGATTCTCAAGTCATAGAAATCGATAGTGCGAACATTAAAATCGAATATGAAAACCGTTTCCTTTGAGGGACTATGGTGGACCAAATAGAGTTGAAGAAAGCGAACAGGTAGACAAAAAGAGGTCGGCACAAACAAAATGTACGTTGGTTGGATAATCCTATTCGTGCGGTGGGTTCTGACACTGTAGCGTTCAATGTCTATCCAATTCGCATAGGTACTCATGTGTGCGTCATGGCTGATCAATAGCAGCCCACGTTAGAGGTCAACGTCATCCGTGACCACTTGGAATGATGTGTACTTCTTTGACATTTTTTCATATGTACCAATGTTTATCTAAAATATGTGCACAAACTCTGAAACCAATGATTGTTGCATTGAAGCTTGATCTGTCTGGAAGGTCGACCAGAAATTAGAGCTGCTTCTAGACGCGTCACAGTGTCAATGTGTCGAGTCATTCGTAAGTTCAACTCAATTCTGCTCAATCTATAAACGGTTCGAGCTCATTTTAAAACGAGTCGACCTAAGCTGGACAACCTTTTTTTTTTTTTGCACGAGGTGGCTCATTTTGGGCTTGTGGGCCAGCTCTTTTTTTTTCCTCGTCTTAATCTTATTTTATTAATTTCTTCAAAAAAAAAAAAAAGAGTCGGCTCAACCCATAAGGATCACACATCGAATAGAGTCAGTTTGTGGACACGGGCCAATCTTGGGTGTCTTAGAAAGTCGTCTCGAATCACTATCTCTTAAAGTTTTTCTAATCAAACAGGATACTTTTAAAAAGTTATCTAAAAACTAGTTCAAGAGCAATAATTTTTGATTTTTTAAAAATCCATCCAAATATCTCCATGTGAAAGGGAGAATCAAAATAGTGGTCGCATTAAATGAAGCATAAAATACCCATGTTAAAAATCGTGATCAGATACTTATTGAATAAAAAAACACTTCATTATTCTATGAATATGACTTGTCATAAAATTAGTTCACAAAGACAGCGTAGACTTCAAAGTATACGAAATATCATTCAATTGTTAGACAATAAAGATATTGTCGATTCAAAATTTTGTTGAGCTACATTCAAAGTTTGCACGTTCTTTTAATTGTTAGGCTACAAATAAAATGTTGACTAGGCTATAAATTAATTCAATTGGAGGCTTCAAATTGCCAAGCTATATAAATAAATAAATAAATTTTCCCCTTGTGGCCCTTATTATTCTTTTATAAAGTCAAGGCTAAAGATATGAATATCTTTAGATTCTTAAATCTCATTCTTCAATAATTTGTTATACCAAAAAATAAAAGTACGTTAGTTTATTATTTTATTTCGATGTTTCGTGTTGCTTTTAAGTTGAATAAAAATGATAAAATAAAAATCTCTATAAAATTAAGTTAAAAAATAGTCTGTTCGAAATAAAATATCTATTGTAATTTATGTTTAGAAGTCGGATTAACGACAAAAGTAAGAATCATCTTTCAACTTTTATTCAAAAGATTGGAGCCAATCGTCGGATCGTAGTGATGCTGCTTATAAGTTGGTCAAACTTATTTATAAACACTTTTAATTGTCAAATTTATTTGCATTTAAAAAAATGATTTTTTTCAAATGAAGCGGAAGTGATGCTTTCTCAATCCTAAAATTGTGTAGTTATAAAATCGACATAGACAGATATTGATCCACGAAAATAAAATTGAACTGAATAAGTTCAGTTGGAGCCACGTTATTTTGGAAAAATGTATTTTGGAATAGTAGATTGATGAAGAATGTGTGATTAAAAAAGAAGGAAAAATTATTGATGTGATGAAAAATATTATTTTATTAAAAAATGCGTTGTTGAAANTGCTTCAGAAATGAATAGTAACATGTGGATTGCCTCTTTTATATTAGTAGAGATTTACAATTAAATAAACAAGTAAATATACAATATTTACGGATCACGGTTGAATTAATACAAATTGCACGCTAGCTTATTCCTTTAATTTTGTATCTAAGATTGGTTGATTTCATTAACCTTATGTGTTATACTAAAAAATTCAATATACTTTATTGTGAACATGTCACAATCACCCTTGCAATTAAATAATAATTTGTTAGTTCGGAAAAACTAAGTTTTCAAATAAAAAAATCATAAATACTTACGATTTCGACTGTCTCGTCGTCGTCGTGTCCCGCACATAGTGATGACAAAAAACCTCGCCCCGCCCCACCCGAAGGGCCCCACTCCGAATGGGGCGAAAAAAAACCCGCCTCAACGGGTTGGCAAGACAAGGCGGGGCGGACTGGGCGTGGGGATCGTCCCCCCGTCCCGAATCTGCCCCGTGAAGAATAAAAAAATAATTAACTACAAATTACAAAAGCACAAAAAGCGCAACTGGTAGGCAACCCTAAAATTTGCTTTGGATATTGATGTAGTTAGTTTGAGCATTATTTGCTTTGGATTTTAAAATTTTGAATTTGTATTTTAACCGAAAATTTTTGAAAAAAAGGGGCAGAAAATGGGTGGGAGGCTCGCCTCGTACTCTCCCCGCCCAGCCCAACCCCGTCCCATCTAAGGCTTGGCATCTCTACCTGCACGATGGCTAGTCTGTCCTGCGCAATCACCCAACTCGTCTAGCCATCAAAAGAATGATCACAGCTATTGGCTCCATATTAAGCTCTAGATGACCCCGTGTCAGATATGAATGATCAGAGTCGTACACATATGTAATAGAATCAACAAAGTTGGAGCGATTGATACTCAATAATAATGGCACGTAGGAACTCGATGCTCAATATAACTCGGTCAAGAATATCAAATGATCTTGAATATTTTTTAGCCCGATCACAACAATTCTATATCCAACTCGATGTGTTACATTAGGAAACAACAATAAAAAATGGAGTTATTTCATTTAATAAACAAAAAATTATGTATACATAATAAATAACAATTGCGATATTGCTACATCGTCGGCGAGCCATGCTTTTGAAGTCGTGATGTCATGAAACTACTTATACACGTTTGGGTTGTCCTTTGAGCTATTGTGTGGCTAGTTCTAAAAAAAAAAATATTAAAAGAAGTATAGATGAGTTAGTGTAGTGTACCTTACTAAAATCATATAATACTTACCCGGGCACAATTTTTCTCCACTCTGTCTCGAACGCTTTCCAATGACATGCTCTACAAATAACAAAAATGATTCTAAAGCACCATCATCTATCCGCAACGATGGGTAACCTCCTCTACATTACCTTTTTTTTCACCCCCTCGTCTACCTATCATGTTGACTCGGAACGCTACGACCTCATCCTGAAGGTCTACTATATGTCCTCGTAGTACTGCAACATCATGTCTTAAATCTGCTACCTCGTCTCTCAACTCTCGTCGTAGTGCCCCACCACTCTCATAGCACGCGCATCTCCTCTCTCAACTCACATCGTAACGCACCCACATTCTCCGCCATAAATCCAGTTAGGTGGACATACAGATCATCAAAATAATGATTCTGATTGTGAGTAGGAGATCCACAGGGGAGGAGTCTGGATGGAGGAAAATGAGATCTCATCAGCGAAGGTAATCCCTTCGACGGAGGTGATATCCAGGGTGAAGGTGATCGTCGATCAACTGGACCGCGCTCCTACTCAAATAACAACATTAAAAATTATTAACTTAATTAAAAAAAACTAACTCATACAAAACGATAATCAATAACTTATATTCAATTTACATACCCAATCTCGGTATAGGATAAAATCGAGCATCTAGTTGTTTTGAGTATGTGGAACGGCTAATTCAAGTGATGATGCCTCACCACACTCTCAAGGCTATAGACCAGTCCAAGCTTCAATCTGTCCAACATCTGGTCGCACTCCCTGATTGCGCCAATCAACTGTAGTAGAAGCATCATCCGTTGTCCCTGAAAATATGCGTCGTACATCCTATTACTTCTTTGAATACCGTTGTTGGCTGCTTCGTCACTCGTAATCTTCAGTCTAGGCAAATTCAAATATAGAGAAAATAACAACCTTGCCCCCGAGGTCGAAGTTGAGGGTATTATCGTCAACTAACCTAAGCAATCGACATATTAATGCATTAATGATCTGCCCGAAGTACTCCACCACTCTCAACTGATACAAGGGCCATAGGAAGGACCAACATAACATATCTCCGTGCTGATCATCCAGAACTCTAGTACCGTTGTGAAACTATCAAAACTACTATTCCAAGTACATTTTCCCTCCATCTGCCGCAATTCTGCATCTAGGAGTGTGTTTGGGACACATTCTTTTGAAAGAATGTATTATTGAATAGTAGATTGATGAAGAATGTGTGATTAAAAATGAAGGAAAAATTATTGATTTGATGAAAAATATTATTTTATTAAAAAATGCGTGGTTGAAAATAAATAAAATAAAAAGCAGCTCGAACAGGCGCTTGAACTCCACAAATTAGAAATGAACATGTGTGACAATTATTTTTTTCCTTTATATATACAAACCCAAATTCCCAAGTTTCTCAGTGTCAATCAACTGTAATTTTATCCGCCATCTAACAATTATGGCGGAATCGGTGGACCTCCCGAGTCGACTCGCGATTCTTCCCTTCAGAAACAAAGTCTTATTGCCTGGTGCAATTATTCGAATTCGCTGTACTACACCGAGCAGGTGGTTATTTTGTCAATTTTTCTTTCGCGGCGAATTTTATATCATCTCGTGTAGCTAGATTTCCAGTTTGAAGTAATTGATTTGGTTTTCGTTTATGATGTTGATTGGAATATCTATCAGTGTGAAATTAGTAGAACAAGAACTGTGGCAGAGAGAAGAGAAAGGATTAATTGGTATTCTTCCAGTTCGTGATTCTGCGGAGGCCGGTCCCACGCCATCTCCAGGTGATTAACGGAGCATATTGTCAATCGAATTTTGTTTAATGTTAAATTTGGAATGCAGTAACAACGATAATTTGATAATTATACTAACTTGTTACGGAAAAAGGGTGGTTACAGAAATGGCATGTAGGTCACAACAGCAACCTTCACTATTTTTTCAATGCCATTTGTTATGGAAAATGCACCCCTGTTTTGTAAACGTGTATAATTCAAAAAAGCATATTCAAGGTAGTTCTTGAAAAATATACTGGTCTTGGTAACTGTAAAATCTTCCGCTATCTCTTATCTCATTTTAAATTTACTGCTTCGTTAAAATTTTGAGATTTAGACGATTTGATTTGGATTTATTTACTTCAGGAGAGCAAAGCTCGAAAAACCAAGAGGAGACCTCTGACTCCCACAAACTCAATGGCAAGAATCAACAGGAAGTTATTCATTGGCATAATAGGTATATATAAGTGTATGGAATGACATAAATAAGATTATCTACCCATGAAGATACATTGTTTTGGTGCTCGTCATCGTTGATTTTTGTTGGTTAATAATATCTGGGTTTTCTTTTAGGGGGGTGGCTGCCCGAGCCTTGCATCTGTCAAGAGGAGTGGAGAAACCAAGTGGGAGGGTCACATACATTGTTGTGCTAGAAGGGTTGTGTAGATTCAGTGTACAGGAGCTAAGCACAAGAGGGACATATTACACTGCACGGATTATCCCTCTTGATATGACAAAATCTGGTAAGATATCTGTCAAACTCTCTTGAGATGATCTATCACCTCAGCAAAATGCTAACCCTTCCATTAGAAGTGTCTGTCATGCTTCTTTGTTGTGCATTCATCAAGCGGAAAAAATGTTTCGACCTTTATTCGATTCTCTTGTGTATATATGATCAATTAGGGACATTTTTGTAGTTTTTCTTTGAAGAGGGGTATCAAGTGAAAAAAAAATGAAGGTGGACGAGGTGTAACTTCTTTTGTTTTAGTTAACTTATATGCGAAGGAATGTGAATTTTCAGTTGAACATATGACTCTAATATGATCATACCATTCTGATCTCCATAGCATCAGGATTCTTAGGTTAGTAATTCCAACTAAAGGTGTCATATGCTAACTTTTCACTCAACTGTACCAAAAACATTCGCAGGCTGTGTTTTAGCAAATACCATGCTTCAACGAAGACGTGACCCAGTGTTGTCCCATAAATTGGACCACCTTAGTTCTGAAGATATTCTAATTCTTTCTAAACTGACTCATTGGTACCTCTATTACAATCAGTCAGTGAGAAGATCTTAACTTTCCCTCATCAGCTGCCATCATGCATGCCAAGATGACATTAACATTATTATAATATTTGAAAAATATGGATTGGGGCTGTGCAGTTCATCATATTTTGTCTTCATTTTTCCATTCTGGTAGACCTGCTGCAACACCGTCCAAAGATATTTAGTAGTTAGTTTGCAAAACCCCCTTTTATGCTATTGATTCTCCAGTGCTGATAATTTTTTCATAATCCAAGTGTTCTCAAATGGGTCCATTCAATGATGTAAATATCAAAAAGTTATTGAAGTAGCTAATTGCTGGAAATTAAGGGGCTTTGTGAACAAAAAATTGTTAGTTTTTATTTCTATATAGTTGAAACGCGTTTCATGTGTAAAAAGGTCTCTTAGGAAGGTTGGCTAGAGATTTCTTGTAAAACTACTAGCCCTTCCCAATTTTAAATTACTTTCAAACGTCTTTTAAAAAAAAAAATAGTTGGAGCTTTTGATGATTGGGACTGCAATATTTTTTAAAGACATTAAGTAAATCTCTTATCTTGTTAATAACTTTGATTGTAGAAGAAGGTTCTGGGATCAAGGATGCCAGTCATTATGAGAATATTCTCAACTTAGACTTTTGAGAAAATTAAATGCATTGTAGGGGTATATTGAAAACATTAATGAATAAATTTCTTACATTTCTTACAACTTAAGTTTTAGATGAGGCAATCTTACATTTCATATAAAAGCTTGTGTTTTAACTGATAGAATTTAAGTTGTTTAATCTTTCCAATATGCCCGACACGTACCTGCCAAGCACATGCGAATTGCACAATTAGTTATTTAAGTCTTGATTTCTAGACCTTTTACTTGAACTGCTGTTAAATAGAGGAATTTAAGTTTTCAAGTTTTTTCATTGAAGGTACTTAGGAAACTAGGAAACAAGAGATGAAAGATTATATACTAAGTCGCTATAGCGTAAAATTACAATTTCAGCATAAGTTCTTGGATGAGCATAACTAAGCGTGTTATTGATTTCTTTTTTTCTTTTTTTTGATAGAATTTTTTTAAAATGGTATAATTTTATAGTAAGTTGGACAAATTAGAAAGCTTTGCACCAGAACTAGTCTAAAAATTGCACTTTGGATGTATAAACTTGAGCTATTTTTTATCACACTAGTTGAAATGATTTAATTTAGTTACCTTACTTTGGTCACGTTCTTAATTTTGCCTTTTTATAAGTGAATGGATTTAACATTAAACATTCAGTAATCCTAGCATGTAGCCAAGTATCGGCGTAATTAAACTGCTAGTTTGGATACATAGGGAAGGAAAGTCAGAAAGAGGATAAAGAAATGTAATACATTGATGTGTTAGTCAATTTCATAGTGCTGTTGCTGAACAGTAACTTAAATAATAATTGTTGGTTCCGGCTCACCACTTTGACTGAGAGTTTTATGACCACATTACCACAATGAGGATATAAGTGTAATCATACACGTCTTTCATTTGGAAAGTTCCTATTTTCTAATACATTCAGTTACATAAAACAGGAAATGATATTTGTCACTCGGGTTACAAAGAATTTGAAAAGGCATCATTTTTATTTAGCTCCCATTATGTTGCTGCCACGAAATTGACATAGTAATATTTTCTCGCTTGAGTTATTAAAGTGTTGGAAAGACATTAGTTTTGTAAAGCCACTGCCAGTCTGCCATTACTAACTATTGTAGCTGTGCATTACTTCGCTGCTACCACCTGATTCTTCTTGGTGAGTGGACTACCCATCAAGTAGTGGACACACCATATCTAACTATTATTCTTTGCATCTTATGAATTTTTGTGTGGAGGAGATGTTAATTTTTCTTGCGCTCACAAGCCTGAGCCTATTTTGTTTTTGAGGAGTGGGACCTGCCACTCTTTCTCCTTTTTTACTCTCGGATGAATTATATTGACTTAGAAGAATCGGAATTTATAAAAAGTATGGCGTTCTAGTGTATTTCAAGCCTCTTGGTCTTTGTTCAAATTTGAAGAATCTCTTTTAGTCATTACCATGGATGGCTACATTGCTTATCGGTTACCATTTAGCTTAAATGACCATTCTATAGTCCTCATTCCTGGAGGAGAATTGCGGTTTAGATTCATGGTCTTTCTCTGGTTTATTTTTATTTACTTTGTTGTACCCCCTCTCTTTATACCATCAACTGCAATCATTTTGCTGTGAAGTATTTATTCTTCTTAATGAAATCTACTGTGAGGATTATCTTTGTTCTATTTGGTTGTTCTCTGCTTTTTGGTATATGTCTCTGTGTAAAGTATATTCTTCGGATTCTGGAAATTTAAGTCAGTTTTGATCATTGTAGCACAATCCTTGAGAGGAAATAAGTTTCAAGTCAGTTTCTAGTCTGATACGGGCAGAGAAAGGAGCAACTGAATGGGTCTTTTATATCTTCTTACATAAACTACTTGTTTATTCCGGGTTTGTGTTTTGGTATATATCCATTCTAATATACTCGGATTTTTTCTGATGCCGTCTATGTTTGTTGATATCATCATTGACATTTTGCATGGTCATCTGGTGAAGATGCTGAATTGCTTCTTTTTTGTTCTGTAATCTTGGTTAGATATGGATCAGGTGGAACAAGATCCTGAATTCATAATGTTGTCCCGTCAGTTTAAAGTGATGGCCATGGAACTTATTTCTGTTCTTGAGCAGGTAACACTTGAGCTTAGATATATTATCTTTTTCCTTTTCTGGGATTAGTACTTTACTAACGACAGTATGTTTTCTGGTTTAGTTTAAATCTTCCCATGTTTGTTGAAAAAACTGGAAACTTCTGTGGTTCAAGAATGCACTTTCACCTCCCTATTGATTAAAATTCTTGATTCTTTATCTATTTTGAATGATAAACAGAGAATGCCATCTTTGATCTTTAAAACAAGATAACGATACAAAAATTAGAAACATTATCAATGTGATTTTTTTAGCACCAGTCCATTTCTTTTCTTAGTAACTTTTGCAGTGGCTTTCCTGTGATTTTCTGATGTCTCATTACTGTGTCCTGCTGTTACTGGTTTTAGAAACAAAAGACCGGGGGGAGGACTAAAGTTCTCCTGGAGACAGTTCCTGTGCACAAACTGGCAGATATTTTTGTTGCCAGCTTTGAAATTAGCTTTGAAGAGCAGCTATCCATGTTGGATTCAATCGATGTGAAAGTGAGGCTTTCAAAAGCCACTGAATTAGTTGATAGACATTTACAGGTATATGAGCTGAAGTTTTCATTCATTGCATTAGTTTATTTTGTCCTTTTCATATTCCCAAGTTATGCTATTATTGTTTACTTGTAACAGTCAATTCGTGTAGCAGAGAAGATTACACAAAAGGTTGAGGGACAATTGTCAAAGTCACAGAAAGAATTTCTCCTTCGTCAGCAGGTTTGTTTTTCCTCGTATAGATACTTTTGCTACAGAATTTGACTGATAATAAATAATACTTGTTAGGATTTGAGTGGTTTTTCTGGGAATGAAACATAGGAAACTCCTTGGTGCAAACTCATTATTCACTTGGTATTTTCCTATGTTCGGGGTTCTTTCTTTAACTTGCAGGATGCATATATATATTAACCAAACATATTTTGATTTGTGTAAAGCAGTTTGTTAGTTTGTTAGACACCCAAAACAACGTTTCCTGTGTTGACTTTTTTTGGATAGTACATTAGCTGTCATTGGTGCTAGCCACTTACTGAAATTACCTATAATGAGCTCAACAATCATAAATGCAGTGAAATCCACAAAAGAAATAGGCATATCCAATGACGTTCATGTATAAACAAAGAACACAAGAAAGGCATTCTGAAATTTTATTTATTTTTTGTCCTAACTTGATTCATGCTTTCTTCCATGTATTTTAATGGTCTTTGTAACATTTTTCTTATGTTCTGGAACCCATCATTCTGTTACGTGATGAAGAACTTCTGAGTTTTTTCCTGTAAGGCTTGAACTTATTTATCATCTTATCTGTTGAAGTAATTTATCTTGATGCCCCTTTTCTGTTCCATCTTAATATTTCTTTTATTTACTATAACACCTGTTTCTGCTCTCACACTGATATTTTTTGCATGTGGATGTGTATTAATGACTGTTTGTTTGATTTTTCAGGCTTGAAATTATTTATCATCTTATCTGTTGAAGTAATTTATCTTGATGCCCCTTTTCTGTTCCATCTTAATATTTCTTTTATTTACTATAACACCTGTTTCTGCTCTCACACTGATATTTTTTGCATGTGGATGTGTATTAATGACTGTTTGTTTGATTTTTCCAATCTGCATGTGAGAGCCAGACTGGATGTTTACTATTTAGAAAACTTTAACTTCAGTTTAGGGGTTTATTTTATTAGTGACTTCAAAATATTGAAAGAGTTCTCATTTGATAGTACTTATGTTTTTCAATCGGAACGCTATTTCTATTGGCGAGCCTAATAACTTGCATGTGAAAATAGTGTTACGTATTTGGTTTCTCACTGCTAAGGATATTTGTGTCTATCTCCATGATTCTATGCAGCACTGAAAAAAATATCAGTTCATCTCTTTGCTGACTCCTCTTTTGACATGCTCCAGATGAGAGCGATAAAGGAGGAACTTGGTGATAATGACGATGAAGAGGATGACGTGGCTACACTGGAGAGGAAGATGAAAGATGCAGGGATGCCACCAAATATATGGAAACATGCTCAGAGGGAACTAAGGTATGTTTTACTGCAAAGACAATATCAACAACAAGAACAAGTAAAATCTTATCCTTATTCTTAGTGAACTTGGAATCTGGTACAGGAATCCTTTTTTGCTATTCAGCTCAATTCGATGCTAATGAAATCAATTCTTTTGGAATGTTATTGTACCACATGAATTTTTTTCAACCCTCTCTTCTTATATGTAATGCTAGGATAGCATTACTCTCATTATGGGGAGCCTCAATATTTTTACACACGAGATGGTGCATATACAATCACCTAAGCAATCATTCCTTAGTTTATCCTTAATTGGTACCATATCCCTTTGTTGCTGTATCTTCCTCATTTCTTGTGCAGTTTAGTATGAAAACACATCTATCTTTAAAAGATTCATTTCTGCTACATTCAATGTTATTACTTATTAGGTTGTGCCTGCATAATGATTGGTGTCCTAAAACATAACTAATTTAATAACTGTTCCATAAAACTATTGAGGATTATATCATGTGTTTCCAAATTATTTTACCTCTCCAACCCATTGGACCTCTTATGTTGAGATTCCTCCCATGGACCACATCATTTAGTTCGAAGTGTCCATATTTTTGTAATTCCTATTTTGATTCTATTATTATGAACTAATTTATTTGTGTCATTTAGTTCTAAGTGTCCATATTTTTGTAATTCCTATTTTGATTCTATTATTATGAACTAATTTCTTTGTCTACTGCATCCGCTACATTGTAGGAAGCCCTAATTATATTTTGACACACTCAAGCACTGAAATGCCATGTTGTTTATGTGGTATGCATAACTAAGGCTAACCCACTTTTCACTACATCTTCGACTGATGCTAGTAGGGGACTGTTCAAATATTGAGCTTCAGCCAGCTGATAAGAGATACCTGATATGATCATCATAAGTAACTAGCGAATTGGACCAGTAATTTTTTATGATGGATAGTGGCATATGATGTTGAAAAGTTTACTGCATTCGGATTTCTCTCTATTAAACATTTTGAAATAATTTGGTTAAACTAAAGCTCTTTTATTATCACATTTGTCTTTATATAACCATGGAATCAGTGCTCTAGGATCAAATTTGTGAAGTTTTCATGCAGCACAATAGCAGAGAGGTCTTTTGTTTGCAAATTTAATAGTTCTCAATTTTCTTAGTGTTGTTGCAATGGATAATGTATCTTATTCTTCATAATATTGCATCGCTGCAATCTAAATAACCTATTGCACATTATTTTTAATGGTATTTTTCTGTCTTTTAAATTCAATAGCCAGAGATGCTTATTATGGAAAATGTAATTTCTATTCTATGTTTGCTGGTCTGTTGCCTGATTTTTACATAGGTAATGGTCTATCTATCACGCAATACACGAGCTTAATCGTCATTATATATGGTCAATTCTCGCATTATAATCAACCCTTAACCATCTGTTTCCAGTTTCTTTTGCATGATACGTGGTTTCTATAGTTCTTTCTAACTCTAGTGAAGGATCTCCATTAAATTTTCCCACCAAATTCCTATTACAGGAGACTGAAAAAAATGCAGCCTCAGCAACCTGGGTATAATAGTTCACATGTATACCTGGATCTTCTTGCTGACCTTCCCTGGCAAAAGGCTAGTGAAGAAAGTGAATTGGACTTAAAGGCTGCGAAAGAGCGTCTTGACAGTGACCATTATGGTTTAGTGAAGATCAAGCAGCGGATAATTGAATATCTAGCTGTTCGCAGGGTAGACGTCTTTGTTATTTTCAGTTTTGTATTGCTTATCTTTTGATTGTTGAATCTGACATGTCAGTTTCGAATGTGTCATTCAGCTCAAACCAGATGCAAGAGGCCCCGTATTGTGTTTCGTTGGTCCACCAGGTGTTGGGAAGACATCGTTAGCTTCATCCATTGCCACTGCTTTGGGCAGAAAATTTGTTCGCATATCTCTTGGTGGTGTGAAGGATGAGGCGGATATTAGAGGGCATAGACGAACATACATTGGAAGCATGCCTGGACGTCTTATTGATGGGTTGAAGGTATGAATGCATTAGATGGATCCAATAGAACATTTCTTAGCCCTGTTTTGGCTCCATTAAAAATAGATTTTGGGAAAAAATGAATTTTGGAATAGCGATTTTTTTGGAGAGTGTGTGGTTAAAAAATAGAAACGAAATTTGGATTTACATATGATATTATTTTATTGGAGAATGTGTGGTTGAAAATAAGAAAGAGAAAAATGCATTTTTTCTAAAATGGAACCCAAATAGGGGATTAACTTTTGTCAAGTTCTGGGATAAAATGGGTGTCATAAAGGAGGTCTGTGAAAGGCCACTGTGAATTGGAACGTGAATAATAAT